AGCACCATGCACCATTTTCCATGAAGGCCCGGTAGCTAGCATTGTAAGTTTGTGTGCTTTTATAATTTCAAAATTAATAGAAAGAGTTAAGCACCATTTTCCATGAAGGCCCGGTAGCTAGCATTGTAAGTTTGTGTGCTTTTATAATTTTTATTATCAAAATTAATTAAACTATATTAACACAGTAAATTGACGGCCCTATATAATATAAATATATCTTTTATATATGCTACTCCTCTCTTCTGCACTCACTTTTTCACTAGGAAAGAAAAAGTCTTTCTTTCACTTGGGCCTTATTCTGATACCTCAGCTGACTCTCATTATAAGTTTTTTCATTATAAGTTACAGTGCCTATAAAAAGTATTCATACCCATTAATTTTTTTCCCACTTTTTTTTTTATGTCGCAGTCTTATGTTAAACTGCTTTAAATAACTTTTTTTCTATATCAGTCTACAACAGAAAAACAGATTTGTGACAACTTCGCAAATTTATTAAAATTCAAAAACTGAAAGAAGTATGTTGCATAAGTATTCACACCCTTAACGCAGTACTTAGTTGAAGCACCTTTACAGTCTCAAGTCTTTTTGGTATGAAGCGACAAGCTTTGCTCATCAGCATTTGGCAATTATCTGCCATTCTTGTCCTCTCCTCTTCACCTCTCAAGCTCTGTCAGGTTTCTCCAGAAATGTTTGATTGGGTTTAAGCCCAGGCTGTGGCTGGGCCACTCAAGGACATTCACAGAGTTGTTTATAAGCCACTCTTGCTGTGTCCTTAGGGTCATTGTCCTGTTGGAAGGTGAACCTTCTGTCCAATTCTGAAAAGTTCTGAATGCTCTGAACTGGGTTTTCATTAAGGCTGTCTCTATATTTTGGTGCATTGAGCTTTCCTTCTAGTCTGACGAGTCCCTCAGTCCCTGCCGCTGAAAAACAGCCCCTCAGCATGAGGCTGCTACCAGCATGCTTTAATTTTGGGATGCTACTGTGCAGGTGATGAGCAGTGCCTCCATACATGATGCTTGGAATTGCAGTTCATCAGACCAGAGAATCTTGTTTCTCACAATCTGAGAGTCCTTTGGGTGATTTGTTGCAAATTCCAAGTGTGTTTTCATGTGTCTTCACCGAGGAGAGGATTGAGTTTGGCCACACTGCCATAAAGACCGGATCGGTGGAGTGTTGCAGTGATGTTTGTCCTTCTATAGGTCTCTCCTATCTCCACATATGATCATAGAGCTCAACTAGAGTGACCATCAGGTTCTTGGTCACCAGTCTAACCAAAGCCCTCCTCCATCGATTGCTCAGTTTGGCCAGGAGGCCAGCTCTAGGATGAGTCCTGGTTGTTTTAAACTTCTTCCATTAAGAGTAATGTAGTATGCAGTAGATGCAATGCAGTAGAATTTGTTTCTCAACTCTTCCCCAGATGTGTGGCTTGATGCAGTCCTGTCTCTGAGCTCTACAGCCAGTTCTTTTGACCTCAGGACTTGGTTTTTGCTCTGATATGCATTTTCAGCTGTTAGACCTTTTATTGAGAGGTGTGTGCTTTTCCAAATCATATTAATTCAATTGAATTTGCCACAGGTTAACTCCACTCGAAGTGTTGTAACATCTACAAGCGATATGAATGCTCCTGAGCTAAATTTCAACTGTCCCAGAAAAGGGTATGAATACTTATGCAATGGAATCATTTCAGTTTTTTATTTCTAATAAATTTGCAAAGTTGTTGTTACAAATCTCTTTTTTGCTTTGTCATTATGGTGTGTGGAGTGTAGATTGATGTGGGAAAAAAGTTATTTATAACAGTTTAACATAAGTCTGCAACATAACAAAATGTGAAAAATAGGCACTGTACATCTATGAGAGATTCACAAATGAAAGCAAGTTTTGTCAGTTCCTTTTCGATACGCTCATCCATGCAGTCTGCTGCTTCTGCATGAGAGGACTGCTGTCAGGTGTTTTGAATTAATGGGATCAGACCCTCTCTGCTTACTAACAAATTAATCACCATATTCCTCCTCCTCTTTCTCCTTCCATCTCCTTCTCCATCACTTCCTGCATCTCCACCTAATCCTGGGATCTGATTGGTGCACACATGACATTTGACTCTCAGGAGGCGATCCCTAATTTGTAGGGCAGAGAGTCTAATACACCGTAGAAGAGCCGCGGGGAGAGCTCACAGGTAGAAGGAGAGATGTGTGTGTTTATATGTGTGTGTTTATTTCAAATGATGGATGTGTGTAATTAGAAGAGGGTGTATAGCACACATCTAGTACATCTGGTCATGTGTGTTTATGTGCGTGTTGTGTATTAGCAAGTATGTGCATGTCCAGGTTTAATGATGTCAAGAAGTCAAGTGTTGTCATTTCAAGGGTGTTGCAATTTTGAATCGATTTTCAAAAAGAAATGCTGATAACAGTGTGTTGCATGCGTAAATATTTCAAAATAGTTTCCCACATATCCTTTTGACCAAAATTGTAGACGTGCAAATGTGCAGGACACCTTTCTTTTGAATTTGTTGGTTCGGTTCACATGTAAAAAAAACTGTATGTTTTGGAGGATTGTTTTGAATTCTAAGCCAAGTTGCTTTACAGGTCACTGGGCACACGTCATGACTTCAGAATGCTCAGAAGCAGCTCTTTCCTAGCAAATTGTTGCACACACTGTAAAATCGAATTAGTTGGGCTTACTTAAAAAAAGCATGCAAACCGATTGCCTTGAAAAAACTAAGTAAAGTGAAATAGGAATAGTATGTTGTACTGACAAATGCTTAGTATAGTTTACTTACATGAGAGTTCTAGAAACTAAAAAAGAACTGTAGGGGGTACTTGATCCTTTCATTTAGGTTTACTCATGACTTAGTATAGCTACTCACTGACTCCCAGAGTGCATTGCGGCATGACTAAATTATGCAGTTGCTTTGTTTTACAGTTGTTGATTTTATTTGCCAATTTTATTTGGTGTCTTGTGTCAGTAGTAGCACAACAAAAAGAGCAAATAAAATGGTTATTGTTACAAGTAATGAAAATAAATGAAATTTAATTGTTACCATTGTTGTGATTCGCGTGCTGAATGTTTAAGTCTGTGTGTGACTTTAGCATATTGCCACACACTATCTAAGGATTTTATAAACCCAAATAAAAGCATCTCAGGGTACTTATGAAAAAATTAATTTGATAAAGTTCATTAATAAACACACAACATAAATGCACTAATGCTTTAATTAGAAGGTAGGTCACTTTCTAAAAGCAACCTATTTATTACTTTTATGTGATGTTCTCTGAAATATTTCAGTTGTATTGAGAATTCAACATTCAAAATGACTTTGGGAAACGAGTGAATGCAACTAGTGAAAGATAACTGCAGACATGGAAGAAATGAGTGAAAAGTCTATTTAAGACTCTTTTTCTTTTCTTCTTCTTCTGTTGTTATGTTGCACATTAGCAACATATTAGTGCACTGCTGCCTCTCACTGCTTTATTAATGTAATTGGTTCCTTTGTGGCTACTTGACTATTTTAAGTGAGGGTCACTCAAAACAGTAAGTAAATTGCTTTATTTGCCTTGAAAGTAGCTGTAACTTAATAAAACCTAGTAAGTATAACAAGTAAAGATGACTAACTAAATCTAAGTAAGGTAAACTATTGGATTTTACAGTGCACAAATTCAGTTTGTTTTTCAAACCCCATCTTTACCACTGACTGTATGCATAGTCATTGCGCAAGCTATAAAATGTTTCATAATTAAAAATTCAAGGTGCATTCTCATATGGTTTCAGATCAGATTTCTTATTTTTTTCCAGCAGCTTTACTGTCAAGCATTTTGTGAAGATAAATTTAAGCACCACAGATGCATGTCAAACAAAGACTACATTCAAAGACATAATGGATTTTCCGATCTTTCAGGTTTCTCAGCCACTCAGGGAGTAGTACCAAACAAAGAACCCCATCTCAGGCTGTTAGAAGGTATTATGATGCACACACAAACCCCTCCACGCACATTCCTATTTCTTGTAATAGTTTGCTTTATTTAAAAATAACCACCTTCATTATGTTATGTATTTCCTAAAAGATAATTGGTTAAGTGTATAGAAATGGCATAACACTTCATATATTTTTAAAACTTTACAATAAGCTTCCATTGGGAACCAACCACATCCCCCCGACCCACCCTGAAACATGATTTCAACTAATGCCAGGCACACACTGTACGATTTTAGCCCCAATTTTCACTCAGCGTCAGTTTTGTGGAAATCACCGACTAATGCCTGAAATCGGAGGCACGTGCTCGTTCATGTGTGTGACAATAGTGTAGTGTGTGCTATCAAAGACACAATCTGAGAGAAGCGCCGATATGTCGCTGACGCCTGTGAGATATTTGACATGCTAAATATCTGGACCTGTCTGCGATTCACAGTCCTGCCATATGGAATGTGTTTTGACTGGAAATGACATCAGCAACAACCTACAGACAATGACCGAGTATGATACGGGGCAATAGAAAGTTAATAGACGTGCAACAGAGCATCAGCAAGCAACCATTTTCTCCTTCATATTCTTCTTTGTTTAAATGTTATTTTTCAGTGCAAATCAGTGTACAGACAACCTGGATTGCAAGCTTTTCACAGGCTACTGTTTTTGACAGGAATTAATCCATTCTTGGACAAGAATGTCTGTCTCTTGTGTGATCTTGCGTTATTTCCCGTATCAATTCTCGCATGTGTTTGGTTGTAAAATGTAGTTTTCTAGACAAGGCGGAGTTATCGGCGATTCTTCCTATTGAAAAGTTATCGTAAACTAACACTGAACAACATTTATAAATATTTTTTCACTGCTACTTAATTTTAGTCCATAATACATAAACTAACCTTTAATGTTAAAAACGTAAGAAATTAGGTTGAAATGAACGTTAGTAGAAACGGATAACATTAACCAAGATTAATAAATGCTGTAAGAAATATTGTTAGTTCAACTGATGTCAACACTTTACAGTAACCTGAAACTTTTTACAGCATTTTTTAATGCAAGTAAATATCAGTTGATAAATATGCTGTTGTTCATTGTTAATTCATGTTTATTCATATTGCACAAATTTTAATTTATACTTAAAATGTAACATATGTATATATAGAAACATCCACCTGAAATAATAAAAACAATTAAATCAAATATTCGTAATAAAATAATACAAACAGTTTGTTCATTGTATTAATGTTAATGTTACCAACTTCAGTCTTATTGCAAGGTGTTGTCCTTATGTGTAATGTGCTTATGAATGCTATTGATTTTAAAGGGTTAGTACAGACTATTCAGTATTCATAAAAACAAACTCTGCATAAAAACTTGGCATTTGCACATTTGTTTTAAACCGTGAGCATTTGTAGGGTGGAGAATGATCAGGAGTTTAATCTCTGAGATATCTTTGTTGATTGTGGGAACTCCCTTTTTTTTGTAAAATAAAAAGGCTGGGAGGAGATGACAGGGTGGAGAAGGTTTATATTTTGACAGTTGAACAGGTAGAGACAGGTATATACAGTATACACCTGGAAATACTGTTTTTTTTCCCCCAAACTTGTGGAATTATTGTGCATGTCTTCTTCTGTCATCTTGTAACTACAATATTTTCAGATGTGATCCTTGGAATAACTTTATTTAAGTTTGTTTGTTTTTGTTTTATTCAGAACTGCACTCTGAATCTTGAGGTCTGCATTAAGGCCGTGGCACACCAAACCAATGTTGATTGAACATGCTCAATCGGCCAAGAAGCCACAGACAGGGTCTGACTATTGCTGATGGTGTGGAATATACTGCAAAAACTGAGATAACAGATGCTTAACGATGGCCCAGCATTGGCAGACGGCTGACTAACGGCTCAGTGTGTCACGGCCTTTAGAGATGCACACTATGACTGAACCGGTGCACCAGGGCATCAGTTGCTCATGCTAATGTGCCAGAAACTGTTTAGAAATGGCTTCTGCAAAACTAATAGCACATTTTGCAGTTGATTGTCAACCCACATCACCTCCGATCTAAAACTTGACCATTGACTAATAGTAAGCTAATCAAGAAAAACACGTCTCACCGGTGCAAACCAGAATTTTAGACAGCAATTTCTTTATTTTCTCAATTGAAATGCCAATAAATTAAACAAGATCAGAAAGAGGAAGACAAAATATATCAAATGAGATGTTTATTCAAAGTCAATATGTCTCTTGCCCTTGGTCTGCAAGAGGTCATTCATTACCATCTCACAGTACCACACAATACACCACTGCTTTTGAATCCCTCATTTCCTTGTATCTTTTCTCACACCTAAAGAAAAACCACAGGAGTCCATACTAGAGGTCTGCATTCCCGCGGCTCTCCCACGGGAACCGCGGGACCCGACCAAATTTTTTGCGCCGCGGGATTAAATTCCCGAATAAAACGTGGTAGCGGTCGGTAACTCTGGTGTAATTTGAACGGGAGCGGGCGGTCTAACAATATCCCATTCCCGACGTCCATTTAGAACAGCACATCTGCGCTTTATTCTTATTGACCACCGGTACAGCTTGCGCTCAGGACTGTTAAACGTCACACGTTTTATTTGCGGGGTCTGTGCGCAGCATGTGCATAACGATGCTCAGAGCAGGCCATACTGGTGGTAAATATACGGCCCTCAGACAGAACAGGCAGGTTGTCGAATAGTGACAGAGCAGAATAAGGATGGAGCAATTCATGTGCGCTTGGCCACATGCGTTGTGCACAGTGAAAGAAATAGTATAAAGCCTTTCAGCACTCTCGTCCTCCATGGTCAGATTACCAAACTGATAACACATCAGGCCTTATACACTTAAGCGTGCACACACATGCCCATATCTGTACACATAAGCACACGTTATTACCTTAGTGCAGTCACCCATAAGCCCCCATTTGTATGTTTTGGAGGTGCATGTCTGCATATCACTGAGTGTTTCTGTTTTTCTTTACAGTGCATCACTAGATGAAGGAAGCAGCTCAGCCTCCGCCTTGAGTGGACAGGTACCAATATATATGTGTCATGCACACAAAGCCATAAACATGCCTGCATTGTATGCAGTAATGCATGTATCTGCTCATCTTCCCACACCTGATAAGAAATGCAGGCAGGCTTTACATTGAAAAGAATTATTAACTGAATTAATGAATTATTACAATATGGTTTTATTATGACTTTGGTTTATTTGTGGGTTGTGGGATTGGCTTCTTTGTTTAAGCTTTTGTTGATAATAGCACTCATGGCAGACTTTTCCAAATTACTTTAAACTTTTGTTTTAAACTTTTGTTTCTTTTGTCCATTTATCAGTGTGTTGGCTGTTGTCTAGTTTGTTTACACATCACTAAAACCACATGAAGTCTGCACCCAGAATTTGAACTTGCATCATACATCATCATTTTTTTAAACTCGTTCCCTCGTAATCCTTAATCAAAATATCTTCCCCTCACCCTTGCAACGACATCTCTTCTCTTTGATGATGTGTTCACTGACCTGAGGTCGGGAAAATAAACTCTTCCTTCCAGCAACCTCTGATATACATCACAACCCGAGAAGAAGCTTTCCCTGTTGTGAAACAAACGCAACTTTGTTTTATGCCAACTTTAAAGGGAAAGTTCACCCAAAAATGTATTTTTTTATCATAATTGTTATCATTTACTCACCCTCAAGTTGTTCCAAAACTTAATACATTTCTTTTCTTCTGCTGAACACAAGACATTTTGAAAAGTCAGTGGGTACCAGCAGATGTTTTACAGATTTGATCTGGGTCTGCTTTATCATTGTGTTTGTGAATTCCATTCTCCCTCATTCTGTGTTTTTGTGTGTGTGTGTGTATTTTTTTAAGGAGACTGATCTCACTGATGATGATGCAGCTTTCTCTGAGGTCACTCTTCAGTTCATCACAGTCCTCCTCCCCATTCATTTCTATCCTTACAGTAAAGCTTCCAAAATCCAATGTTCTAGTTGTATTTTTACTCACTCACAACATTTTCACCAGCTCAACCAATTCTTACACCACCACTCAAAATGTTGATGAGATTTTTTTTTTAAAGAAATTAATAATTTTATTTAGCAAAGATGCATTAAATTGATTAAAAGTGACAGTAAAAACAGTAAAGATAGAATCATCATAGCTTCAAAAATATTAAACAGCACTGTTTTCAACTTTAATAGTAATAATAGTAAATTTTTCTTGAGGAGCAAATAAGCATATTAGAATGATTTCTGAAGGATCATGTGACACTGAAGACTGGAGTAATGGTGCTGAAAATACAGCTTTTCCCATCACAGGAATAAATGTAATTTTTACTGTATTTCATCATATAAATGCAGCCTTGGTGAACATAAGAGACTTCTTTCAAAAACTTTTTTTTTTAAATCTTACCAGCCACACACATTTGAATGGTAGTGCATATTTTTCATTACAAAATGTTTTCTTAACAACATTTTGTTCACCTTTTTTCTTGACAAATTACAAAGTAAAAACAATGTAATGTAATGTAAAAACTAAAATGTAACTCCATTAATTCATAAGCACACTTTTGCTGGAAAACAAATCATTGCTAACTGGTTTGTAGTTTTCAGTGCATTTTTACTGATGCTTCCATGCATTTGTTCATTCATGTGTCATTGTTCATTTACCATTAATGTGGAAGGAAATGCTTTCCACATGTTAGACCTTGAGAATGAATGTAACCATAACTTGTTTGTTTACAACTCCACAGAGTATCTATCTTTTAATTTAAAGCCCCATGAAATTCATTTTGAGCCCTGTGATTCACCGTAATTTTGTGATTTGTCCCTCAGCCTTCTTCCTCTTGCTCGTTTGATGGAAGTTTGAAATCAGAGAGCAGTGACTCAGAGCCAAGATGGCCAGAGGTTCCTCCTGTGCTCAACCAGAATGAGGATCGGAGGAGAAACAAGTACCTGAGAAAAGACTACCTGAAGGTACACGCTCAAGTTCTCTGTTTTTCTCACGCTCACATATTTTGTTTGCTCGTGTACACTCACGTACCCCTCTCTTTCTCACTGGTTTTGTCAAAGACACACAGACACACACAAATATGTAATTACTTCATGCCACTTGAGACTTGCATATGTCACAGGGCAACTTGTGTTGTACTTCAGTATGTTAAAACAGTTACAGTATCTCTAGTCTCAGCCCCTGATATTTTATCTACAGCCTCAGATATGGCAACCCCAGACTGATTACTTATTGTACTTTAGGCCTCATCTATGTAAACCTTGGAAAATCAAGATGTGAGGAGTTTATTCTTTTTGAGGTGCTTTTAAAGGACTCTGCATGGCGAGATTAGCATTGGTTCCTGGTCCTGTGGATATAATGTTCAAATAATGGCTTGTGATCTTCCACACAGTTGGCTATGATTGTTATATATTGAAGAGGGGAAATCCAAGACCCGACCTGAGTTTTTACATGTGAAGAAAATTACGTGAGGTCTTATTTCAAGTTTTCACTTTGTTTTAGTTGCTTAGAGAATGGCAGGATTTGTCTGGATTTCTGCATAAATTGGTCTTAAATTTTAAAAAATTACAGCACAATAGATAAATAAACACAGTCACAGACAACAACAAACACATTTTCATGTCGTTTTTGAACTCATTTTGGAAATATTCACAGTGCAGGGTGGAAAACATTTGATTCTCTAGGCTAGTGACCTCAACTAAAACATGGATCCTTGTCACTGAGACAAGATTCACAGTGTGGGTCTGAGCCCTATAATGCGCTATAACAAAAAGTTTAAGTGTCAGCTGATTCACAGAAACCCCTGGAGAATGTTAACATCTCTGTTGAAGTGTCTATGATGAATTAAACACTATGTAAACAGATGAAATCAAAGTTCTTAAAACACACAGCACCACGTGTGGAGTGAAAAGGCACAGAACACCAACATCAAAGCCACATCCTAGCTGTAAAGTAGGTTTTGGGCATGCTTGCTGCCTCAGGGCCTGGACAGCTTTCTATCATGACAGATAAACAGAAGTTTATTGGGATAGGCTGCAGAATATTGAAAAAGACAATGACTTAAACCACATTAGTAGAATAACAACAGAATGCCAGGAAATTACGCATTCTGGAATGGCCCGTTCTGACCTCAGTTTAACTGAGATGCTTTGGCACAACCTCAAGAGAGCGATTCACAGCAGAAAGACATCTGATATTTTACCTAGCTGAAAGAGTTTAGCGAAAAGGAATTGTTCAAAGTTCCTGCCCTGAAAGCTTGTCTGATCCACAGTTACAGGAAACATCTGGCGGAGACCACTGTGGTCAAAACAGGACAGGCAGATGTTTCTGCCTAAATTAGGATTATTAAATGCAGGGTTCACAGATTTTTTTCCATCCTGCACAGTGACTGTTTACACAGTGTGTTCAATAAAAATATGAACATGTATCCTAGTTTGTGTGTTATTTAAAAAAGTGAACTATGTTTGTCTATTCTTTTCACTATTGAGTCAAATTAAATCCAGGTAAATGCATCACATTTAACTTTTTTTTTTGTTTCTTTTTTTTGCATCACATTTGACTTTTTTTAAAGCAATGTCCTTTGACATTTTTAAGGCAAGCAATTATTTATTTATTTATTTATTGTGTATGAACATTGAAATGTTAAATGTCAAGGAAAGAAAATATGGGTTTAAAATGGGTGATATTTAGCCTTTAGGGTTTCTCGGCAGAACACACAGAAACACACATCCGTAATACCTCTTCCTAAGAGAATTTCCCTTATCAGTCTCTTTCAAACGTGCGTTTGTTTTGCACTTCCATGGAACTGTCAAAAGAACAAAATCGAGGACAAGCCCAGTCTGTGCCCAGATGACTTCACATTAACACTTTTTCCTCAGTACTGACCTGTAACTGAGAGAAGAATAAGAGACCTTGGATGATTTGATTGGTTTAGTTTATTAATTAGAAAAGTGCTTTGGCTCTTACTGCTCTGTACTACTTTTACACTGTTTTCTAACCACTGCTATATGCAGACACTAATGGAGACATGATATTTAAAAAAAAAATAATAATTTAGCCTCACAATAGAATTCCTGTACACACCCTGTGTAATGAATCCACTGAGGCATGTTGAAGTAGAACCCATGTGCAGTTTTAATTAAGTCCAAAACATAAACAAATGCAAAATGAACAGAGACTAGACTTGGCATGGACTTAAGCATGGACATAAACTCACCAACAATGGTAACATGAACAAAGCTAGACAATGGACAAAGAAACATGAGGGCTACATATATCAAACAATGGGGTCACATGACACTACTGTGAACAATAGATACAATAAACTAATGAGAAAACATTGATAAAACAGAAAACCACCTGATAAAAATAACCAATGAGAACAAGACACATGGACAAGGGTAGCACATGCCAGGAACACATGAGGGCACAGGGAATCACATGGCAAACCAGGAAACTAGACTAAGAGGTGGGCCTGGGCCGTGGAGCAGTGACGGAGACCATGGACTATGGTGAAGTGGCAGGCCTGAGCTGTGGAGCACTGGTGGAGCTGATACACACCACGGTGGAGTTGATGGGGCTGAAGACCACCAGGGTGGAGCAGACAGGACCAAAGATGCCCACGGCATAGCAGATGACCACCACAACAGATGAGCAGATGAGACAGAAGACCACCATGGAAGATCAGATGGCGCTGGAGACCACCGTGGAGCGGGCAACCAAGGTGAAGCCGGTGGAGCGGAAGACCACCACAGGTCAGAAGGCCTTGGGGGAGCAGAGACATGGGCGGACCACCTGGCCTTGACAGAACAGGCTGAGAGCTCAGAGATGGCCTCCTTGGCCATGATAGGGCAGACTGTGAGTTCAGAGATGGCTTGCTTGTCCGTGACATGACTGGCAGAGGGTTTACATGTGACCACTGTGGTCAAAACAGGACAGGCAGGAAACTCACAGGCTAGCGTCAACACAGGACTGATTTCTGGGGCTTAAGCAGGCTCTGGAGCGGATTTGCGGACTCTGGAGTGGACACATGGACTAGAGAGCAGTGTGCAGCCCAAACACACAAAATGGCCATCGCCGTTACCGTAACAGGGAGTGCGACTGACAGAGACACTCAGACCTCGTACCACCGCAGAAACACCAGCAGCTCGCACCGACGTAAGCGGCGTGTCCTTCAAACTGGAAGCCAGTCACAAACGCCTAGGAATCGGATTTGTAGCCTCTGATGCGACGTTCATGACACCTGGAAACACTGGAGTGGTGTCCATGATGTCTGAAGACTCTAGTATGTCATCCATGACTGCTGGAGTCTCTGGCGTGGCATCCCTGTTGGCTGCAGGCTTTGGCGTGGCAGCCATGACATGACGAGGCTCTGGCGTGGCGTGATGAGACTCTGGCGTGGTATCTGTGGCGTGACGAGGCTCTGGTGTGGCGCCTGTGGCGTGACGAGACTCTGGCGTGGCGTGACAAGGCTCTGGCGTGATGAGGCCCTGGTGTGGCGCCAGTGGCGTGAAGAGACTCTGGCGTGGCGTGGCGAGGCGTGACGAGACTCTGGTGTGGCGTGACGAGGCTCTGGCGTGGTGACTGTGGCGTGACTCTCGCCGCCGGTGGTCAGCGTTGTGGGTAGCGCGGCCAGAGCGATCTTTTGACGCTCTCGCCGCCGGCGGTGTGAACGCACAGTAACAGGTCTAGCTTTCTGTAATGCAGTGGTCGCCAACCCGTCGATCGACTGGTAGATCTTTATCACTGTCCCAGTAGATCCCGAAAATAACAGTAAAATAAGTACAAAAATGCATTACATTTATGGGGTTATATTAATGTATCACTG